TTATGTTTTGCCAAGAAATCAACCATAAAAAAATGGGATAAACTTGAAAAACCTTTAAAAATTATAGTGGCAGACAAATCTATCCATGAAATTTGGTATATAAAACAATATGTACCAATAATCATTGAAAAACATATCTTCACAGCTAAAACAATCTATCAACATGACTCAGGACTAGATATAATAATAGGAAATAACTTTCTAAAATTATATCAACCATTTATCCAAAGGATTAGAACAATCAGCCTTAGATGTCCTAAAACAATAGACCAGGAATCTAAGATAATCACAACAAGAATAATCACAAAAAATGAAGTGCTAAAAATTGTACTTCAAAACCTCAAAAATAGACTAGAATATATACAGATTACCTATAGCATTCTAGAGGATACTCTAGACCAGGTGTGTAGTGAACATCCTTTAGATAAAGATAAAAATACCAATCAAGAACTTATCGAAATTAAACTAAAAGATCCTAAAATGGAAGTTAATGTCCCTAACAAAATTCAATATACTCAACGAGATGTAGAAGAATTCCAAAAGGAATGTTCAGAGCTAGCTGAAAAAGGTATAATACGAGAAAGTAAAAGTCCTCACAGTGCACCAGCCTTTTATGTAGAAAATAATAATGAAATCAAAAGAGGAAAAAAAAGAATGGTAATAAACTATAAAAAACTAAACGAACAAACAATAGGAGATAGCTATAAAGTACCTAGGAAAGACTATATATTAGAAAGATTAAAAGGTCATGGAATGATCAAGATACAAAAATAGTTTTATTAATGAAGGAAAAATGTCAGTATTTACCAAAATTATATAACCCTTGTGAAAACGATTTTCTAATAATTCAAACGGATGCCTCTAAGGACACTTGGGCAGGGTGTATGTTAGTAATACAAAATGGCAAGGAATTATTACAAATGGACAATTTTGGTAATGTCAAAATAGACAATAACGAGGCTACTGTCTCTGGCCAAGAGCCTAAAGATTATCAGTCTTCGGACAATATTATTGAACTTTCAAGTTCTCAATCATCAGTTCCTTTCAATAGTGATAAATATTCTAAGAAATTATGTAAATATATTTCTGGAACATTTACCGCCACTGAACAGAACTATCCGATCCACGAATTAGAGACACTAGCCTGTCTCAGAACATTGAAAAAATGGAAGCTTGAATTATTATCTACAAGGTTTGAACTTCAAACCGACTCTAAATATGTAACAGGTTTTTGGAGGTACAAGCTTCAGGCAGATTTCAACAAAGGGAGATTAATCAGGTGGCAGCAACAACTCCATTATTACAATCCTTATCTGAAGTATATCAAGTCCAGCAACAATCCATTCACAGACACACTAACTCGAGAATGGAAGGATTCATAAAGACCCTCATCAATCAACTAAGGCAGAAGCAGGAAAAGAGTGCAGCACTGGAACAACAACTTATCCTTTGCAGGGGGGAGGAAGAAGCAATAATTCAATCAATCGACATCATTCAGCAATAGTTAAAAATAAACTACATCAACATCAGTACATTAACAACTAGCTCCACTAGTGAAAAGCCATCAACACTCACCACATAACCCGCTGAAAAAGAAAAGTCGACAGCAACACAATCATCCACCACTACCAGCAATAATATACAAAAGACGACACGATGGGCAGACATCGTTGAACAAGAAGAAAAAGAAACAAAAGATTCCCACTATGAAGAAGACGACAGAAAAGGCAGCAAGTGGTATGTCATATTTAATGGACCATACCGAGGAGTATATCATAACTGGGCCATTGCTAGCCAGCACATCAACGGCAAACCTGTCCAACATCAATCGTTTAAAACAAAAGAAGCAGCCGACGAAGCATATAGACAATCATACAAGGTGATGGCAATGAAAGAACCAGCCAAGAATCAAGAGCAACAATCGCAGAAACTCGTCATGAAGATTCCCAGTATCAAGAGCATCCTAACCACCAAAGAAAAAGAAGAGCAATTAAAACCAATCTTTCAGAAGTTCATATCTAACTGGGATATGATAATCAACTATGAAGAAAAACACACGACCATGGGTTTCTACCCCGTCAGTCGAGGAGGACCCAAAGCAGTAATCACAGAAGAAGCATCACCAGAACTCTCTTTTGAGTTCCATCAATATGGATTAATCGACACTATCTACACTACAACCATGAAGGTATTTGAATACTTCCCACAAAGAATGAGGAACGTAATCAGAAGATATCTGGAGCTATTTGCGAAGGAACGAGAAATATTTCTCAAGTATACAAGCAGCTACCCCGTATTCGATCAAGACAAACTATTGATCGGATCAAAGGCAGTTATCCTCATGGGAGTATCAAACCATGATTACCCTACCAGAGATGACCTACGAGACTATGAGAAGAACCCAGACTACCAAGTAAAGGGTCTTCTTGCAGTATGCAGAGCATTAACCAAAATTGAACCGGAAAGCCAGATTAAAGTCAATTACAGCAGCCCCGATGCCATCATCACCAGCAAAACAAGAGGAAACATGACCAAAGAAGAATGGGCAATCATAACAGATAAAATTAAGGAATTCACGGAAATTAATGGGAATCTGTCAGCCCTTCCCATTCAAATCAAGAAACAGTTATGCAATGAGCTTACTATCTATGAAGACCATCTCTGTGAGTGGTGTGCATCAACTGACGAAGACATCAGTGGACCAGCAGACCAAGACTGACAGAAGCATGTGAAGAAAAAGGAATCAAACAAATATGGAATAAAGCGACAAAAGAAGGTTGGCCGACTCCTTTAAAAAAGTCGTGCATTATTGTATTTTATCAGCTTTTCTTATCGTTTCGCGCACTTTTGACGTGTTAGCTTTACGTCCCTGTCTAACAGACGTAAGCAATGATGTCTTTGTTTTTCCTCTCAGCTCTATATAAGAGCAAGAGTTTTCAATGAAATAAGGCAGAACGAGTTTGGCCATAAAATTGCATGTTTACTCTCTCCCTCTAGCTAGCTAGTTGCAAGGCTTGGATCCACTGATCCTGGAGGCCACAATCAATATAATCAAACGCACAGAGAGCAGCCACAATCATCAAGCTATCATCAAAAAGCTCAGAGTTTCATCAGAAAAACAAGTCAGGTATGTCTGATAATCCTACCTCAAGTTATTTTGACTATTTAAACAAAAATGATAATGAAAACTACTTCTTAGATGGCGTTATAGATATTAAGAAAATTAGAGAAATAACTAATTTTACTATTTCAGAAACACAAAACTTTATAACTAAGTCTTTTTTATCAAAGCTCTTTAATAGAGAAAACATTATTAAATACGGTAAAATGATAGGTGAAGTAGCAGTCCCTATTGATCAAACTAAGGGCGATTTCTTAATTCAAGTAATAAACAAAGAACAAATCAGAAAAAGATTAGCTAAACTAAGATCAGAAGAACGAAATAGAATAGCTTATATTCATATTAGTACAATTCAAATTATATTAAAATCAACCATGAAAATAGGAATTGACGCACCCATGGAATTAGAAATTCGTGATGATAGGCTCCTAAACGAAGAAGAAAGTATTATTGCTAAAGGAACGGGAAACTTAGGAGTAGGAATAATTAAATTTGACATTAACCTACAACAAGGATTAAGCCTGGCAGATGGTAATCTTGACTCCTCTATCATTATAAAATACGAATTAAAAAGAGAAAATTTTATGAAAGAAAATAACAAACCATTTTCAGTAACTTATCAAATAAACTATGCATTAACAAATAGTCACCACAGCTTAACTTTCAAAAATAAAGAAGTAATTACTATAGAAGATTTATTTAAACCTTTGATTCAACTAGAAGCACCATTGAAGACTGTTAGAATAGAACCTAGTCGACCATCGATAACCCAAGATCAAAGACGGTTAATTAAAACACAATCAGAGAGAATTAGGCATATCCCAGTAATTGAACAAAATTTAGAATAAGAAGAGATAACCAATAATCAAGTAAATAAATTAATTGAAGAGATAACCAATAATCAAGTAATAAATAAGCTAGAAAAATTGCAACATTCAATAGCAAATCTAGAGAATAAAATCTAGAGAATAAAAAACATGGTATCAGAGCCACAAACACTTTTGTCTCTTTCTCTTATTTCTCACGAGATATTGAACTCCACTACAAACACTTTTGAATTTTATATTATTAAAACTATTAGGTGTTGTGGCACTTGAAGTGCCAAGAGACCGCTCTCAAATGGAATTTGGGGGATCCTGATGGTGGCAGTCGGGGGAGCGCTTTTGTGGGGGAGATGGAAGGAAAATAAATAGAATGATAATCATGATTAATTTCTTGTTTTTATAAGAAATAAATATTATAAAACAAATGATGGTAAACTAGTCATTTCGTTTTATTTAACGGTGATCTAACGGAAATTTTGATAGAAGTGTGTGGTTGTTACATGCTTATAATTCAAGGATATGTCAAAATAAATATGTAAGGGTATGTTTATTAATTTCTAATAGTAAAGGGGTGTAAAATCCTATTATCCCTATATCTATTTAACAATTTTTCTCCCAAAACAGTGTAGGTTGGGACTCACCTCATTAGACTCTCCCTTCGCCGCCGAATGAACCCAGTGCTATAGTGTATCCTGGATCCGCCGCTAACTGCGAGGTCACATTTTTTAGTACTTACGTGACCTAATTAATAATTACCTTATAACACATAGTATAACGGATATATGTACAAACTTCAAGTACATAACTTGGTTTTCATTTCAGAGTTTGTACGAAAATGATTATAATCTCTCTACATGTATCCCTCCCCAATAACTTAAATTATTCGAATCAATTGATTTATCGTATCCGGCTAAACTTAAATTTTGCTTTTATGTATGAATGCAAGTGAGTTTATTAGCACCGAAATTATTACTCAATCTGGAGTAAGCAGAGGTATTAAAAAAAAAAGACCAACTTTTCATCTAGTACTATAGAACAGTGACCGAAACTGTACATTACCCAACATGAACATCAACTTGTGCCACGAAACTTAACAAGAACTTAAGGCAACCATCAACCGTACTAGAGCTCTTCTTCTTCTTCTTCCCTTCTTTAGTAGTAGTAGTAGTACTGCTACCCTCGAACATCTGGTTCGTCCATCTCTTCACTTTCTTTAAAACGACACCGTGCACGCCTTTCTTCTTCTTCCTCTCGTTGGACGATTCTTCCTCCCTCGTGAACGTATAGCTCCTTAAGTACCTCTGCCTCCACACGTAAGCATCGGGGCTGCTCGTATTGTTTTTCGACCCGCCGGTGAACCATGACCCGTATATGCTGCCTTCTTCCGCCTCGGCTCGGAGAGAAGAGTACGAAGAAGAAGAAGAAGAGAAACTACTCGCGACACTGTTATTGCCGTTTGCAGCTCGTTCTTTCTCCATGCAGAGGTTGATGATGAATCTGGCGTGTGCTTTGTGCCATTCTGGTTTCACCGACCTTCTTTGTGGAAATTGGTTTTCGACATCTACACAGACCTTCGAGTTGCAGCTCATCACCATTGTTATTCTCTCTCTCTATATATATCTCTCTCTACTCCTTAGTTATGTGAGCAGGAGGATACTCATAAACTTGATTGGGTGTTGGTCTCCTCCCTATTTATATTATATCGGAATTCGGATGTCCTTATTTATGTTGTGTTCGGATTTAGGTTATAGGTTCTGTCCAAAACCGCATAGGATAATGATACTAATAATATTCTTAAATTACTATTTGGTTAAGTACTTCATAAGTAGTGATATCTTGTTAAGCATGTCGAGAATTTTTTATATTTTTGTTGTAATTTTGTTAGGTAAATTACGAATGATGAAAAATACGATTTAATTATCTTATCATTCTTAAATTAAAACTCGTTTGCTTCTTACTCTAAACCCTAGTTGTGTTCTTAATTGTCCCCCAGGTAGCTATTAGTTCTTCCTATTTCTATTACAAATTCCAAAACCCGTGGCAGAATCTATCATTATCCACCACATCTTAATCGGCGTTATTTGTTTGTTTGAGTTTAATTATTTCGATAAGGGTGGAAGTTGTCCACAAAGAAAAGATGGTGGAATGAGAATTAACATTTTAGACGCAATCAAATGAACTCTATATTGTATTAGTTGCGTTGTAAATTCATTAACTCATTTGAAATTATTCATATTGAAATATGAAAAACTATAAGGAAAAATATTTAACTCATCCACTTATATCAATTAATTTGACTTTCATTGCTTGGATTACAATTTACAAATAATTTGAGGCTGGAGCGGAGTTAATTAATATCTAGATATTTTTCAACCAAAAATTGTGTAAATGATGAGGCAAAAATCGGAAACATATTCACCAAGATGGAAGAACGGGACAATACGCATAAGACAGGACTTGGCAAGAAAATGAGATCTCACTGTAAATTTGTAGAACTCGAGGAGTATTTTTAACTTTTACCATCATGTGGGTTTGAATTTGAAATTATGTCATATCTTACTGGTTAGAAAAGTGTGCATCGCAGATTGTGCAATGTTTCTGTCTGAATCAGTCAGTAGCTGTGTTTATATATTTGACTATCTTGGGGACGATGAAGATGTAATTATTTACTAATTTGTATCGAGTTATACCCGTGGGCCGTGATCTCTAGGGCTGGGAATTTAGACCAAACCGTATGACAAGCCGCGGTTTAGATCGTACCGTACGGTTTGGTCCGGACCGTTAGATCATGAATACAATTTGGTCTGGTTCATGGTTTGCCTCTTTTACTTGTGGTTTGGAACGGTTTGGTCTGGTCTAGATCGTGGTTAACCGTCCAGACCGTGACAAAAATTAACTATACCATCTTACCATTAATGTTGTCTGCTGAACTTTGGAAGTGTAATTACTAAGTTTCCTTAATGGATACAGATGCAAAAATTCTTTCTGCACTCATACAAATTGAAGTTGAAATCTGCTTTCAATGTCTAAACCATTTATATTAATTACTTATATTCTATTTAATTATGTTCTTATCACACCTAATTTGTGCATATTGAGCGACCACAGCCCACAAGTTCTTTTATTTTAAAAAATTTGTATAACATGAGTCACTTCAGTTTATGAATATCACATCTCAGTACAAACACTTGCAAAATTGAAATTGCTAAATATATGTACGTGTAGGATCAATATTAATAATGTCCTTAAGTTATCCACTTTTGTGGCTCAATTACTCAATCTCAACTGTGCGTGTTTTGCTCGGAATTCGGTAGAGCTTCAAAAGTTGGAGAGTGATCTCTTTAGAATTACTTTTGAATTTGCACTTTATAATTTGTTGAACATATTAGTATTGAACTATGGATGTTGTTGATTCTTAATCTCATGTTATGTTGGGTTGTAGACTTGAAATTGTTGGTGTTATGTTGATTTTTGAACTTTGTCAGATTAGATGTCAATGAGTTTTTTATTTTAGTCACTAGCTAATATTTAACATTGGATAATACAGGTTTTGTTGAACATGGTCTACTCGGTCCAGACCGTACCGGACCGAACCGCACAGGCGTGGTCTGGTCTGGACCGTATAGGTTATGGTCTGGTCTATGGTCTCTGTTCTACCCTCTCGGTCTGGACCGCAGACCGTTTATATGGTCTGGTCTGGACCAGATCGCACCATTTCCCAGCCCTAGTGATCTCTATGAAATGAAGGTTGCGATGTTTTCATTTCTCATCATTGAACTTTCTCTTTCAAGAAAACTAGATCGCGATGTCGCGGGACGGAGATGACCTATGAACATGTATTATGTGGCTTGTTATGGTGTTCTATTGGTAATATTAGGGTTCGTTTGGAAGTTGTGATTGTTAAATAGATGTGTTGTTAAGAATGCATGTATAATATTATACATGTATTGTCGAATTTGATGCATTGTAGAATACAACGTTTGGCATGTGTGATTGTGTATGTCGCATTAGCTAAAAGCTGAGACAAAACAATCTCAACTCAACTATCTCAACAATCACAACTAAAAGTTGAGATATAACACTCACTCAAAATGAATGATAGTTTCTGTCACATCACAGAAACAATCCATGTATTGTTTCTGCTAAAAAAACAAAAAAAACGATGCATTGTAAACAATACATGCATAATGACAATCTCAACAAAACAATCGCAACTTCCAAACGACCCCTTAGTCTAAATTTTATTTCTTATTAGTAGTTGTGTTAGTAATATTGACTTGACAATATGATATTGACTGAGAAGAGATATATGGAGGTCAACATTCAATTAAAAAATTGAAATTTTTTACTAATAAATAATATTTACCTAAACCAAGTCGACCCATTGATTATGGGAAGTGAATGGTGATGTATATATGGGCTTGGAAGTATGTAGATGAGTTTGAGTAGGGTATTAATATTTACTTCCAAAATCTAAATGTGTATGTGTTGGGTATGGATACTCATTTATTCGAGGGTGTTTTAATTACATTAAAAAATTAGACTTATTTGTAGGATTTCAAAAGTTTAGGTACCAAAAAGTAATACACAAAAAATTAGGTACTAAAATTTAATATTCCATCAATATTTCGAGGACTTATATGCCAATAAAATAAATTTATGTTATAAATCTAAAGATCTATTAAGTTTAGGTATCGAACTGTAATTTGCATAGTTGAGGCTTAATTCCTTTTATGATGATGTATTTAAGATGATAAATATTTTCCTTTTTTATAGAAAATTGAAAACTATTTATTTGAAATGTGAAGATACCTAGCCTAACATTCCATGTATAATTGTTGAAAATTCTAGCTCAGGTGAGAAAAAAAACTCTAAAGAGAAGCGAGAGGAATACAAACTGGAATTCGCTTAAAATTTCACGCCTTCAAATCTCATAATAGAAAATGACGACTTTCTAATAAGTAATAACCATATATTTTTATTTTTAATTGTACTCGACATTGAGCTGGAAAAGTTAGTGGTGCATGGTTCAATTACAAATTCTCTAGACCGTTGGTGAGTTTTGTATGGACCCATTCATACTTGTGATTAGAATACGTAAAAATAGTATACTAATTAGGGTTAGACGAATAAAGCAAAGAAAGAAATAAAGAAAGGGTTATGGAAGGTGAGTGAAAAATGAAATGAAGAGGAAGCAAATGATGGAAAGGTTTGGTCATTTTTATAGTTATATTAACTTTTAAATTATTATTTTTATTTCTGCTGATTTTTTTAAACATTGTTCTATTCAAATGTCATACAAAAACTTCATACATGTCAATATCTTAATGTACTCGTATTATAATTTACTAAATATGTTATCACGTCACCGAAGAATGTTCTTTTAAAAAATGGTAATTATTGATTCAAATGGATAAAATAAATATTTTTTTTAAGTATAAATCCCATGGATGACCAAAATGGTCGAATCTTCTCTTACAGTTGAGTGATACGACATCTTGCATGGTACAAACTAAATTTATACTTTTATGTTATGGTGGATTGGATTCATGGATTCAAATGAAATCTAAATATTCGACCAATATGTAAATTTAAAAAATAGTAGGTACGGAAATTCATAAAATTAAGATAACAAAACATAATTGTTCAATGATTTTACATTAAAATTAAATTTAGGGTATCAAATGTAAAATATATATTATAGTGACTAAGTTGCAATTTAATCAAATTTGGGGTAGCAAAATGCTATTATTTAGGGAACAGTTAATAGAATGTCATACAAAAACTTCATACATATCATTATCTTAATGTACACGTATTATATTTTACTAAATATGTTGTCACGTCACCGAATATAATGTCCTTTTAAAAAATGGTAATGATTATTTTAAATGGATAACATACATATTTTTTGAAGTAAAAATCCCATGGAAGATCAAAATGGTCGAATCTTCTCCTACAGTTGAGTGATACAACATCTTGCATGGTACAAACTAAATTTATATTTTTATGTTATGATGGATTGGATTCATGGATTCAAGTGAAATCTAAACATTCGGCCGATATGTAAATTTTAAAAATTGGTGGTACGAAAATCTCATAAAATTTATATGCCAAACATAATTGCTCAATGATTTTACATAAAAAGTAAATTTGGGGTATCTAAATGTAAATGTACATTATAGTGATTAAATTGTGATTTAATTAAATTGGAGGTATGAAAATGTAACTAGTTTGGCAACAGTAACCAAACTTCCGCTTTATATATATTAATATGTAAATGCAGTTTAATACGTACATATATCATTATCGATTATAAGAAAGAATTCCAATTGATTTGCTTGTGTATAATTTAGATATGTTATTATTCAAAACTGTTATTTCAAATTAAAAAATAACATTCACCATTATAAAAAATTAAAAAAAAAATCACATGTCACAATTCTTGTTATTTGTTATGTAGTATTTGTACGAATTATCACGTTTGGATAGATTATAAGTAGTTGTATTCTTGATGTTGTATTTGAACTCAAATTTGTTCAAATTAACTCCATCTCTTACTCGTTTAGTATAGGTTAGGGACGACAAA